TGGACAGCCTTGTCTGGTTCCTGATTTCAATGGGAATGCTTCCAGATTTTCTCCATTTAGAAGGCTGTGGGTTGTGGGTTTGTTATATATGGCTTTAATTATTTTGAGGTATGTTCCTTCCAGTCCAATTCTCTCTAGAACTTTAAACATAAAAGCATGTTGAATTTTGTCAAAGGCCTTCTCTGCAGAAAGTAAAGTTTTAAAAATATTTTTATTAAGTTTTTGTACATTTCATACAATAGTTCTTAATCAAATTTAAACCCTCCCCATCCCTGCCCCCCATACCCCTGCACCATACCTCATGCATTCTGTCATATATCTTAAGTCCTATCCAGTCCAGTATTTGTATTCATATGTCCTTCATTGAAAGTTCATTTACTGGTCTCTAGTCAGCAGATCTAGAGACCTTAAAGAAGATCTACTCTCACTCATCCAGCAGTAATCAGTTGCCAACAGTCCCAGCCAACAGCCAAAACACACCACCCATTTCTTTCATTCAATACCGGATCCTTGTCTTATTGAGTTGGCATGGGTCTTGTGCACAACCCCACCATTGCCACAAGTTCACATGAGCAAACTTCCTGTGCCTGAAAGCCTCTGTTTGCTTATGTTCATAAACCAACCCTGACTTTTACAGTCTTTCCACCCCCTCTTCTGCAATGATCCCTGAACCTTCAATAAGTGGGATTTAATATTGAAGTCCTATCCAGGGACACACACTCTGCAGTGTCTTATTCTCTAAAACTTAGTCAGTTGTGGCCTTCTATGTATGCCACACTCTATTGTATAAGGAAGCTTTGCTGGTGAGAGCTGCGAGATGAACTACTATTCTCTCCACCTCCCATTCCACTATGTTCCATGAGTCTTAAGTATAGAGGAGATTCCATTTTAGATGTGTCATGTAGGGCTGGGCATCTCTCAGACATGTATTTTCTGTGTGTGATCAGTTGTGGAGCTCTGTAATGGCCTCTCTCTGTTGCAAACAAAAGCTTCTTTGATAAGTGGTGTATGGTACGCTTTTCTGTAAACATAAAGATCCATATTTAGCATATGGTAATAAATTTCACTTTTCAATACATATAATAGAGAAAATGTTTTCTCTAGGATCTATGTCCTCTCCAGCCACGTACATTTGTCTATAATTACAGTACCACCTGAGTCCCCTCCAATTGAGGGGGCTTTTAGTACAATTAGATAGCTGGTAATTACCCCCAGGTAACAGTGCTACTACTGCACCAATAGAGGTAGCTTGCAGTGCCAGTCTTTGTGGATATTAGGCTTTAGAGCTGGTTTGGACTGTTGATTGATTTTTTTCATTGCAGCCTGCATAGTACCCTCTAGAAATATGAGAGCTAATCTTCAAGGAGAAGATTTTGAGGTCAATTCCAGCTCCATTGCTC